TTCCCCCGCACGCCTTTGAAGGGCTCAGGGTTGGGCTCCCCTTGTGCTGGCAGTGCCCCTGGAACCATTGGTGACCACCCAGGTAAGCAGCGCTGCCCCTTGCTGAGGGCACCCCCTTCCCTCAGCAGCCTGAGGGACCTTCCCAGGCCTCAAGGCTGTGTGGAGCTGGGCCTCCAGGCAGGCAGCACTGCCAGGTGACTGAAAGTACCTGCAGATTAAAATGTCACTTTTAAGAATCTTCAGCTCTTCAGTAAGAAGTTATTCCCTTTATTGATAAAGCAGTAACCAAAGTATTCTTAACATTGTTCTAAAATGTTGTAATTTATTCCTTGCTGCTGCTGGTGGGGTGTTTGGTGGAGGTGCTGTTTTACCAGGTGTGTGTTGTTAAAATGCTCAGATCCCACAGCTTTCTAACACTTCACAGCTTACTGAGCCACACCTGAATCATGGGTGTAGACCAGGGTAAGTGAATTATTGCTGATTTATCCCTTTGTGCCTTATTGATCACACAAGCAGCTGTGTGCTAGCACTTTTTTAAGAAAACCAGGATCACATAAAGTGTAGCTGGCAGGCTTGTAATTATTTGGGCTAGTGGATTTTTCAGTTGGCACTTTGCATTCATATAGGGGAAGGAAAAATCAATTTTGGTATCCAGCTTGTGGCTTCTATAAGGAGTTTTCTTGCCTTAAGTTTGCTTTTCCTACTCACCTCAGTGCAGTACTGAGCATTAATAAGGAATACGTCATCTGCGTAGGGATGAAGTTTGGAGAGAGAAACTGGCTTGCAGTAAGAGACTTTCTGATATGTTAACAAGTAAATCATCCCTCATGGGGGACACACCTGTAACCTAATCTGAGTTACTCAAAAGATTGAGGACATACAGAGACACATACAGGGCTGCTATGGCTGGGAAGGCTTTTTCTGTATGGACAGCAGATCCGTCTTTCTGGAGCTTCACTCCACTCATTTCAACCATTGCAATGGTTAATTGTTGTTCCTCCTCTCGTGAGAAGGAGAGCAAGCTGGCATCCAGGCTGAAACACCCCTTCCTGTGTTCTATGTTGTGTTCCAAGATGCTCTCAACCTTTGCAACAGCACAAAAAAAAAAAAGCAAAATGGTATTTTAATGCTCCCATCTGTGAAAGTCATTAAGTAAGTAAATGATCACTTTAACTTGTGAGGTGCTTTACCATTTACAGGCACACTAAATAATCCACAGTTATATACGGGGCTTTTCACCCTGAAAAGACTATCATGCTTGTGTATTCAGTTCCCAGTTTCTTGTGAATTAGTTATGTTTAAGAGATCAAAATTGTAGTGTGTTTTTGTGGCTTTTTTTTAAATCTGCAGCTAAAGAAGCCAGAAAATTCTGACTACCCTTTCAAGCAAAATGGTAGTCATCTGTGTCCAATATAATGTTTATTATCAGCAAAACAGTTGTTAGAAGTCTTAGGTCTTCATGTCTTGGGGTGATTTCTCTCAAAGTGAATATTTTGATCCCTGCCAAGTTTGAAGCAATTATTCCTTCCCTTCTTCCCAGTGTTACCTTAAGTTGTGATACTGCTACCTATATCACCATCTAAATGTTGCTTTACTTAAAATAACAGCCCCCTGCCCCTTCATTTTGAGCCAAATGTGATATATGTTCTCTCACCAGCTTAAGCTGTTGGGACACAATCTCCTCTTCCAAGGACTCCAGCAATACCAGCAGCTGATCCTCTGTTAGCTCTGCAGAATTAAAACAGATTTGTATCAAAACCCCACAACCGATGTTCCAGAGACAGCTGGCGAGATGTGAAGGGTGACCGGCAACTGTTTTGCAGGGCGTGCCCATTAGGTCAATTGTTCACACAATCTAAGAAATTGTTTTATGTAAATCCTCTGCAAGTCTCTCAGGCTCTGTAAGTTTTCTATATGCTGCTAGTCTTGGTAGGAATATATTCTAGTGCTACTGGATTTTTCTATTTAAATGGCCAGAGAGCCTTACCATCTAATGCATCAAGAGTGTAGGTAATAGCTCCTGTCAGCTGAAGGAGATGATGCCTTGAAGAATCCTGTAAGCTGCTCAACAGGTCTTTTAAGTCCGGGCTTTCTGTTTTCAGCTCAGAACTACCAGTTTCATCAAGAACCGCTTCCATCTAGGGAGATAAGGAAAAGAAACATCAGGATTTAAGAGAAGAGGCTGCTGCTAGTCCCTTCAGTCTAACTACAGGAGCATGTGAACAGTCATGTAATGTGTCTCCCCTCCTTAAGCTATTTGTGAGGCTGCAGTTGAGGCTTTAGCATTCACACTGGCTCCAATTAAAGATGGAGTAAGAAATATAAATGGTTTGATACCATCAGGTAAATCTGCTAGGCTATATTCAGGACATATTTCAGCAGTTGGCTCTGTCCTGAGCACTTTTTTCTCTGTATGGTGATGGAGAGCAGACAGATGTGCTGGGTGAAGGATTTTTGGATTGACAGTAGTGGCACAGGAGAGATGACTTCTGGGGCAAGAGGGTATGATCATGGATGTCTCTGGATTTATAAATCCTGGCAGTAAGAAGAACTTTGCTTACTTTGTGGTTCAGCTCTTCAAAGAGGTTTCTGTCTCTCATCACAGCTTTGATGGCTTTTAAAAATATGACGAGCAGACTGGAAGACAATTTGGAGAGAATTTGACAGTTCTCTATAACTTCTACCTGCAGTGCTCCTAGTTTTCCTTGTGATAAACCTGAAAACCGGAAGGAGTCCAAATATGTTACTTGTAAACCAGGCAATCCCACCAGAAGTTCCCTGGCACCCTTAAACTTAGAATTTGAAACAGTTCTATGAATATTTTCAAAAGCATTATGTGATTGAGTTGGACAGTTGTCACATCTCAGATAATAGGCAGTAATCTACAGTAACACATCACTTTTGGTGGTTTGTGTTTATTCTGGGAGATTCCGTCTTACCCAAAGGGGGTAAAAATAGTGCAAGTGGAAGAAGCACAATATGTTGCTTACCATCAGATGCAAACGAGAGTACCTTCTCTTCTGGGAAGTAGTTAAGTTCTGCAACATGATAAAAAAGACATTGCTGACTTAAAATCTATCCAGCTTGAAGTGTTTTTCTTTTTTTTTTTTTTTTAACCAGAGTTGTTGTTTAAGTCTGAAGACGCTGGTATCCCAGTCCTGAAATCTCATGTGCTAGTTGTAGGTCAGACTGGTGTTTGTACTCTTCTCCAGTGCATCTTGTCTTCTGCCTGTTTATTTAAAACTTGTTATTCCTAGGCCTCATTCCCTACTGTTGTGTGCCTTATGTTAGGGTCTGTACTGGCCAATGTGTATGTTAAAATACAGGTAAATTAAAATGACAACTTAGACTCAACAACGTCCATGTAGACGTGGGAAGCACAGGGCATAGGGGAAGCAAGCCAAATGCAGTCTCCAAAATCCTGGAGCAGGTTTTGTGGATCTCAGTCCTTCCTTTACCTATCTAGCATAAGCATCTTTTATGCCAGCGTTCCCACTGAAGGCTGTTACCTCCCTGGCTCTCTTCTTCTGAGTAGGAAAAGAAAAACAAACCTCTACCCTCCCTGTTGTTTTTCAACAGGAGCTCTGCAGTTCCTGAAATTTAAAGCTGGGACTTCCGGTGTCCCTCTTTTATTTCCTTACCAACCCCCCAAAGCTGCATCTCTTTCCCAAGTACCTCTTACGTACTACGTACACTTTTTCCAGGTGATTTGTCACTCGTGTGTGTTCATGCCCTTGCAGATGAGCTAAGGGTTGCCATGAGGCCGAATGATACTTCAGAAAAATGTTTTTCCTCTTAGGAGTTGGTAGTTTCTGAAAGTTACTTACCCCATGATCCATCACTAATGTCCAGTTGGATTGCCCTGAATGCCAGGGTGCAGCCTTTGGGTATAATTATGCCTTGTTTGTTCTCTCTGGTGCCCTGGTGGGAGAAGAAAAAAATAATCTGTTACTAGTTCTGGATGGCATGCAGATGTTCAGGAAGGACTGAGTCCTGAGGCTGAAGAGAAATCAAACCTTTGCAGTGAGCTTGGCATAAAACTGGGTCTTGAAGCCCCCATCTGCCTCGGTGGATTCCTCGTAGATGGCCTCCTCCAAGGTTTCTACTGTTTCTTGAACCACGTATAAATTTTGTTTTGTTTTCTTTAGCTGTTGAATGAAGGCATGATTCATGTTCACTTTTCTGAAAGAGAAAAAGGGGTGTGATATCCTGGCTGTTCTTTCTGTGAGTTATGACAAAAGTACTGTAGTCTTCTCAGAGCCAGAAGCCCTATGCTTCAGGTCACACGAGTACATGGAAATACCACAATTTCAGGGGCTTCTTGGGGGGGAAAAGGTGGCAGAAAACAGGCTGCAATTCTCACTGTCCTCAGCACGTTCCCCTTCTATGTCTGAGGGGGACCAGGGCAGTGAGGCCTGGCAGGTGATCTGTCCTGGTCTGTGCACTCCTCTCCAGGTCCAAACCCTGAGAGAAGATGGCTTGACTCGGTGTTGAGGTGTTCCTGCTTTCTGAATTACAAAGAAGCCTATAAGCATTACAAAGCTGTGTAAGGAATCTTTATTGCCTCTCTTTCCTGTCCTCCAGAAGTATGCATAGTTAGGGAGAATGCATGCTCTTGGGTCTTAATCTTGGTTTTTGGCTGTTGAAAAAACATAGTGTGACCTGGTGTGGGGTAGAGAGGAGGATGGCAACCGGAGGGTGTGTTCTCCCTTTGTGTCTGCCTTACCTTTCTTTTTTCAGTGCCTCAAGCTTTAATAGTGGTATGTCGTTCTTCTCCAGCTTAATGGACCACCCTTTGGAAAAGGAGGCAGCTCCTCTCAGCTCTATGATTGCATGGTCAACGCAAAGGCTTAGATTCCCATCAACTCTGTCACTGATGTTTTTTTTGAGTGTAAATTGCCTTGAAACTTGACCACCTCCAGTGGGAGAGAGGGACTCTGAAATAATTTGATGCATTAGCTTAAGCACGATTACAGACTCAATATTATAACTGTTGTGCACACAAGAAAGATGAAATGTGGTAGAGTTCAGGCACAAATAATCCAAACAGTTTGTCAATGGAAACCATAAACTTAAAATTGATAAATGTGGGGTTTACCTGTACTTTTATTGTCTTCCCCAGGCAGCAGCACATCGTTGAGTCTGTACCCTGTCCGTTTGTAGCAGGGAGATGGTTGGAACATGGCTTTTCTTTTTCTTTTCACTAGACAGAGAGGTCTGAAATGTTCATGGTCTAAGATGCTGTGAACTGGGACCAGGTCTCCTTTTGGGTCCATTTGCTTTACTATGGATTTGGTGACTTTTTTAAACATTCTGCTGTGGCTGGCTGAATTTTTGAACCAAAGTGTATTTGTGCCTTAGGGAAGAGACAAGACAAGTTAAGCAAAATGACTTGAAATACAAGCAGAAGGCTGTAACAAAATACTGTTACTTTTAATTACTAAGAACTTTTAAAAAATGATAGCCAAAAAAAATCCTATACCAGTACAAGGACACACCTTT